TAAAGTTTTTAAATAAAATTGAAATGGGTATTTAAACTGTTCTGTTATATTTTAATGCCCCTCTTATTCGAACTAGATTTGCAAATACGTTTTATATTCTTTTTCAGAAAACTAATTATACTCTTGGTTCACCTATTTATAGATTAATGAAAGTAGTAATGTAGATTTATTTAATTTTCCTTCTATTGAATATTTTTGTAATTATATTTTTTATTCTTTATAAAACGTTTTTTTTCTCTCCTTACATATTTTTTGTTAACTAAATTATATTTTTAGTATTTTGTAATCTTGATTGTTTTGCAAGTATTATTATTATTTTTATACACTTATATACTTTTACTGTCAATCATTTAAATAGATTTAGGTCCACAATTGTAATAACTATAACATTTTTTTATTGGATTCATCCCATTTGAATGAATAAATTATCCCTTCCAAGGAAACTAAGCTGGAATTTATCCAATTACAGACAAATGTTGGAGGAAGAAGTTCCTAGGTTTCCTCTTGACTAATCTCATCAAATTTAGTAATCAGAAGGAAATATTACCGTTCTATGGTATACCCTTCTTATCAGTCTGTTATCACATTATCCAAATATTTGGGTGGGCAAAAACAAATTTTTTCGATAGTTAAGTTTGTATTTAATTTTTTCTTGTATTAAAATACCTTTAAATCTAATTCCGAAGAAAAAAAATTTCCAGTTTTCGAGCATTGATTTTAAATAAGTAATGCAATTTGTATGTATTTTATTTCTTTTTACGCTTTAAATTACTGTTAACTAAAATTGCCATGAAGATAAATGATCAAAATTCAATAAGGTACAAATGGTCCAAGTAATTGATAAGAAAAAATCAAAATTGACAAAGTTATTAGCTATGAAACTCAAATGGTTACATAATGTTGGTAAATCATCAGCTAGAACTACCCTTGAAAAAGTATTTTATCTTTCGAAAAAATTACATATAATCTTAATTAAATTTATTAAAAAACTAGTAATAAATAAAATACAAAAATAGGTAAAAATATACAATAGAAAAAGAATACAGTACTTTTTATTTTTTTTTTTTTTCATTAACCTAAAGATCGAAAAGTCATTGTTTTATTATACATTTATTCGCTTGTAGTACATTTTTGTAATCTCAAGTAAATATTTTTTTTGTTCTTTTTGTTTAGTCAGAACAGGATTAAAATAATGAATCAGTTTGACGCACCATTTTGCCAAATCATTTACTGTCATTCAACTTTCAGCTTTTCCACGAGCACTAATTAAAGTGTTTCAATGTTGTTATCAAAATGCAATACATGATTCAAAAATTGCCAATATTCTTATGCTGGTACGCGTCTATATCGTTGCATTTATTAAATGTCAGTTAAATAATTATCATATACGTTAAGATTACAAAAAACTGTTGAATTTATCATTAGAATTCTTGGGAGAAACAACTGAAAAAACAATAAAAATACGCATTTCAGAGCCTACATCACGTTCGTTAGTTGGCAAAAATGATATATTGTTTAAAAATATACATTTTTCGTAATCTACTCCCATTGAAAGAAGCTGAGCTCAATGGTGTCCACGAATATAATGTTTTTATTGTCCGAGTCTACAATCAAAAGTGACATATTTGTCAAAATTAAATTCTGGCACTATCTTAATTTGTTGAAAGATCTTATTGAATATCAATCCATCAATCGTAAAATTACTGAGGAGTGCTGTAAGAAATGTGCGGGTCACTTATGATACTTGAGTGAAATGCTATCAGGGCTAGTCATATTCGATCCATGCATATCAGTCAAAGAAAATAGAAGAATCGTGATCGCTCTAGAAAATGATTGCAGCGATTACTCTCCTCGTCACATTTACGCCGATAAAAAATAAATTTTAAATAAAAATTTATCAGATTTTATTTCTAAAAATAGTAGTCAGTTATTTTCATCGTATGATATTGTAACACTTAATTTTATACAAAAAGATTCGAGTATTTGGGAAAATTATGAAAGTATTTATAAGTGCTCCTGGAAAAGTTAAAAGATGTATCGCAATGAATGATTTTACAGAACGAGGTGTCAAACTGATTCAAGATTTCAACCCTATTCTAACTAAACGAGAGGAACAAAAACAATATTTACTCCAGTTAATAGGAATACACCGCAAGTAAACAAATGTATAATAACACAGATTTTTCAAAATTCGGTTAATGGAAAATTAAAATTAAAAAAAGACGTCCTAGGATAATGGGGACAGGTACAGCCATTGTTATAAGTAGTTAAATGAGTACTTGTAAGCAACGATATATACCATTGCTTACGAAAAACTGATTCCGAGCGGAGTTCAATAGATAGTGATGCTTTGTCAATAATATGTATGCCATATTATAGTAAAATAATTGAATAGGCTCTATATGTTTTCATTAATAATATTTGTTTAATGTTGTACCGATTTTCCCGGTTTTCCAGTTTTTTACATTTGCTGAGAAAACTCTGAGGTAAATGGAAAAATAACTTCTCTAAAGTACCACCCCAGTGAAATTTCATTTCTGACATTGCTTCCATTAAAAGTAGGAGCCAAATTGCTGCTAGAAAAGTTGTCCACAGAAAAAAATCGGAATATTATACAAATATATTTCGTACATTGTTCTGTTTTTTCAGCTTTTCACATTTGTTGGGAAAAATCAGAAAAAATGGAAAAATTGCCTCTTCAATGTACCTCTCCACACCGATTTCCTTTCAGAAAAGCTGCTACACGTAAAAATCGGAGCAAGTTATCTGGTAGAAAAGTTATATACAGAAAAAAAAAATAGAAATAAACATCTTTGTAAAACTATAAGCTTCTTCGCTCCACTCAGAATCTAATACTGTAATGTTTTTCTATTATCTATTTTAACTTTTTTTTTTCATTTTATGTATTATTAATTTATTGATAAATTTAAAATTAAATTGTAATTTTTTCAACGATAAAAAACTTTTTCCATGGTAGTTCTAGCTGATAATTTACTAATATGATGTAATCATTTGCGTTTCATAATAACTTTGTCAATTATTGTTCTTTTTCCTATCTACTAATAGGATCGTATTTGTTCTTTCTTAAAATCTGATTATTTATTCTCATGCCATTTTTAGTTAGCTATAATTTAAAACGTATATAAAAAAAAAAATTCGTTATTTATCTAAAATCGCTGCTCGTGTATTACCACAGGTTTTGTCATACCTGTACAAATTAAATAAAAACATACGCAATATACATAATAAAAACAATTTTTTTTTGTCCACTCTAATATACCGAATGTCTCATGAAGATACCACTTGAATATCTCCGGAAATAATAAAGATAATTAAATTTTGAATTTTTTTAATTACTAACAGGGATAAGGACTACAAATATTTATTTTTAAATTCATTTCTCTTTTTTAATAAAAAATAATTTTTATTTTATTGTTTCCGGAAATTTTAAAGATAGCCATTCTGTAGAGTTTATTTTTCTAAAAATGTTATTGAATCATACATTTATATCCGATGCATAGTTTCTGAGTAACCGCGGTTTTAAATTCTACTAATCCCTGTGAATACCTATCGAAAAATGTTATCAAGGGAATAACCTAACCGCGTTGTGTGATAACATTGGTTTTCACACGAATTAGTTGATAAATATAGGAAAAACAATATAAAGTTCCAAAATGTTGTCAAATCATGAGAGATTTACTCATAGAGATGTATTTTGTACCACCAGAATTATACAGAATTATACAGTGATTTTCTTTATGGTGGACCAGCAATTTTAAGTGAATTTGATTTTTGAATCAATTTGAATCAACAGTTGAGGAATGAGAGAAATTAGAGACTTCTGTAGGGTGTCAAGCCATAATTTTAGACGTTAAAAATACTCTCCTATTACCAAATCCCACCGAGAAATAATTGATCCGAATATCAGAAGGGAGGGGAATACTTATAATGTGCCCATGATATACCTATATATGCTAGAGCAAATCTCACTCACTTAGGTTGAAAAATAACCATGTTACGGCTTTAAATTTCAAATGAAAGGAAAGGTTTTTGATAAATAAGAATATTTGGTGTAGAATTAGGGTGGGAGAATTGATGACACCAGATAAAAATCTTTGGAGAAATACAATGTTAAGATCGTGTCTACGATCGGCTAAGGATATAAGATTGAGCTTAAAGATGACAGGACTATTATCGTGGAGAGGGGTAAACGTTTTTGTTGGACACGTTCTAATATGTACCTATCAGCAGCTAGCCATGGATCCCAAATAACCGAGCCATATTTGAGTATTATTCAGACAAGCGTACAGTTATGTACACTTCATCGAATCAGAAATAATATAAAATTTTAAATGAGGTATACACCTATATAAATTGGTTTGGAGAAATGAATTATTTTGTTCCCCAGTGTCACTGCGTATAGGTTTTAATTGTATGTCGTGCAGTGTTTAAATATTGTTTTGTTTTCAGTTTCTGCACTCTCTTCTCACTCGATATCAGTTGAACATCAATCCTCCGTCTCATAGATTCCATCGTCTTACATATAAAATCATACTAATGGATAAGTTTTAATAATAATAGTAATAACTTACCAAATACTGCGTTATTCTTCAGTTTATAAAAGTCGTCCTCGAATTTATTAGTCGCCTTCTTACTCATCTCAGTATTCAAGTCAATACATTTTTTCAACTACAGCGACTGATTGAACTGCATAACTCTATGCACATGTAACATAAATAATACAAAGGATGTGTAGATATTCTGGGTACTCAATATCAACCTCGTACACCCGGACGATATCCGATGTATCGCTCAGATCCTCTAAATCATTTAATGTAGGCCCCGCCCACTTGAAGCCGCCGTGTGGCATGTACTTCAACATCGCCCATCCGTACAAATTGTTACCTAAAATAAACAGAAAAATACAAAAAATTAGAAGTATGTGATTGATATATATATTTTTTTAAATAATATGTATACTCACAGACCTGGTATATAATTCACGAATCTTCTTTCATTTTGTCGTAGTCTTCCACCGTTATATTGTTTGCCTTCACGTACCGCATACTCGGCTGTACGAAATCGCCGTGTATCCCTAAAAAAAAAAAATGTTCCGGTTAATATTATAAATGCTATGTAAAATAACATACAATTATTTACCTCTTTCAAACATCAGCAACATATCGTAGTCCGACAGAAGTTCAAGTCCAATCCTCGTATATTTCAGCGTGACGTCATAGTTGAATCCGGGTGCCGTGTAGTAGTACGCCTGGACTAAGTTGTAGGACATCATACAAATATCTCGGAAATTTTCAAATACGTACAAGTCGCTATACTCTCCCAACGTCCTGTATCCAAAATTGCCCCAAACTTTCCGTGCGTGCACATATTCGTTCTTCTCAATGTTCTTCTTCGTCAACGTACTATAGAAGTCTTCCTTCTCCGTCAATGTGTCTTCCTCCAATTTCCCCCAACTGTCCGTATACTCGTATAGGTACACACCCTTCCTCGTCACTAATTATATATATCTTTGTCGTTAAATTTTTTCCGTTATTCACGGAACTTTTCGTATTCCGGGGTGATTGAGTACGATGGAAGAGACAAGACTCGACGTCATGAACCGGCAGGTATCGATAAATCGTACGGTGAAAATATTGCTCACATATTTCGAAAGCGAAATAAATTTCTCCTCGGAGTTAGGTATTACAGAAATGGTTTCCGCACGTACCCCAGCTCTGTAACAATGAAATATGATTCATAGTTAGATAGATTATAGAAAAAGCACGGGACAAGTTTCAATGTTTGACATTTCAAATTACAAGTATTGCTCAATTTTTGTTGGTATTTTCCGGATAGGTTGTTGTGGTCGGCGATTTTCGAGTTCGCGGCAGAAAAACCGCCGTTACACAAATTACAATGTTGACACGTGACATATCTCTGTACCTCCTCTGCAGTCATGATAATAGGTTTATTTGTCTTCAATAATTTGGTTACTTTCTTGCCGATGTTTACTATCTGCTCTACAAAATGTCTTGCCACGTCCGGTTCGTCTCCTGTTCCTCTGTAAATAATCGGCTCAGTAGGTATATCGAATTCTTCCAATAATTCTGTAGATATGTCGTCTTCCTCATTAACATAAATCCCGTACGACATCAGTTTATGATTTTGTATAATAGTTGTATTTTGTCCTTTCATATCGTCCGTCTACTCCAAAATCGCCTCGAAATCAGCATATATGACGATAGGATGCATTTGAGTTTTTCTCCACGCTTCAAATTTTAATGTCGATCCGGGTTCCGGCATTACAGGAAATATCGGTTTGTGTTCACCGCAAAATGTTTATGCTGTTCGAGCGTCGCCTGCCCGATCAATTTGTAAATTTTGGTTATCGAACGACGTGAAACAACGTTTACAGAATACAACTTGATCCTCATGTGTAGTTTTCTGTGAGCACACTAGACGGGAAAAATTCGAGATGTAGATATAATGTGTTTTTTCTTCGTTGTTTATCAGCAGTAGGTCGAAATGGTCAGTCTTCTCCTCGTCGACTATCTTAAGTAAAAAAACGGTTTGTATCGTTTTTTTTATTTTTTTCTTCTTTCTTCAATCTTCGTTCTTCTTAAACAATTTTAAAAGCAGCGTTCAGAAAAAAAAAACAATATTAATCTTCTCTCAAGTCAGTGTTTCTGCTGACGATGTTTATCGTCCTAATCTTTGGCCCATTTTTCGCGTTTTTTTTTGTTTTTTGTTTTTCTTAATAAGAATAACAGCTAAGCCTATCAAAGCTTTAGCGTTGTCGTCTAGTGCTGCCATTGTATGTGAATTTTAAGTATTAAAAAAATATAACTGACTAAAAATTATAGCTGACAATAAAAGAGCGAAGAAAATATAAATTTGAATGTGAATACACAAGGACGGTGAACCGGAGAGTGACCGGAGATATGTTTCAGAATTTAAACTTTCTGATTCGATCAATTCTATCTACTGTACGCTTGTCTGACCGATACTCGAATATGGCTCGGTTATTTGGGATCCGTGGCCAGCTGTTGATAGGTACACATTAGAACGTGTCCAGCAAAAATGTTTAACCTTTGCAAGCTATAAGTTGAATATAACCTGCCTCCCCACGATTATAGTCCTGTCATCATTAAGCTCAATCTTATATCCTTAGTCGATCGTAGACACGATCTTAACATTGTATTTCTCCAAAGACTTTTATCTGGTGCAATCAATTCTCCCACCCTCCTCTCGCTCAATAACTTTAAAATACCAGCCCTAACCACTCGCAATACAAACCCATTTTTCATCCCTCATTATACCACCAACTATTTTAGTAATGAGTCTTTAAGTGTGCATTTGTGGAACTGGCTATTTTTACAAAAACTGCGTGGCGTACACAACTTCCTTCAACAAAATTTCAAAGTAACAAGTAAGGTATGCAACTCTTTGGTACAGCTTGACACGCAGGAGTGGCCATAGCCCACCTTCCTCCCCCCTGTCGTGCACACATCTATGATTATAAATTTATTGAAAAATGTACACCAGTTGTGAATGCTATCAGGACTGCTGACTACCCTATGAGAGCTCATAGTGTGGTAAGACACCATTACACGACGAAAGTCAATGTGTGATGCGATCGCTAGTGGACAATTGTGTTAAAATTCCACCTTTAATCTCATTGTGTTTTTATTTTGTGTTGTTAACGTTGAAGTTATCAGCGTATACGAAACTACGATATTATATGTTTGCCACTTAACAACTACTCTGAAATAGTTTTATCAACATTTATCATTAAACCTCGCGTTATGTTACCTTCATATTGATAATTTGTTGTATATTTTATACAATTTATGAATTATTTCTCAATAAAAACTTGATGAAAACTTATTAGTTAGGTGTTTTATCCATAGACCTATTTATATATTTTATAAATATAGCCATGGATTTATCAATTTCAACCACGGACTGAGATACATAGGACTAGACAAAACATGGTTGGATGGTGGGGGGGGGTTGACTATGAAATCCTATAGAACGGGCAGTGTACGAATGAATTCACCTTTCTAGCATTACTAGCGCCGTCTTATTAAATACTTATTGAACTATATAGGTCACTGACTAATTTATACATTACACAAATAACAATATTATTAACTATCATAGCTCCAATACTCCACACAGTAAATTCTGTAAAAACAACTACTGCCTATTCAATAAAATTACAAATTTGAATCACCGACAATAAATAAATTACAGTAGTTACTAGTTACTAGTTTAAAACCAATCCAACCAGCAGGAATATTATTATTCTATGCGTACACCTAGAACAGAGCAAAAATTAAAATAATACACAGATTAGATATTGGGATTGATTCTTCCCATAACTATAATATTACACAATATTGTTCTACGTGTTCCTCACCGTCGCCAACAATATTATATTAAAATATAATATTATAGATACGCCTATCACTATTATAGCAAAAATTGTGTTAAACAAAAAATAGAAATTATAAGTTTCTAAATATACGTACGATATGGCATATTTTCTACATATATATATATATAATTTATTATTTAATAACACAACAAATATTATTAGGTATATACGTTTTGACCTAATTAATCATTATCGATTTGTATGCAACGTTTATCTATTTTATGCACGATGCGTAATATATTATATTATTTATTTTTGTTAAAGAGAACTGTTCCTAGGGCAGTGTTTATGTAACATTTGTTTTTATTATTATTTTTAAATATTTTTTTAATTTATTTTTTTAATATTCTTTTTATTTTATGCATGAAAACAAAGAACAGGAAATAAAAACAATGTAAATAGAGATCAGAAATTAGTTTTTAAAATGAGATATTAGAGATAGCACCAGAACCGGTCATATTACTGATATTTATATATATATAAAATGTGTAAAATACAATTCATAAATAATTTAACAAAATTATCTCAAGCAATTAATTACAGGCTAAATTTTATTCCTTGGCAATGTATGGATAAAACTAACATAAGTGGAAAAACATTCAAGAGAAATATCGCTAGTACATATAGAAATATTCATAATCCATTATTCGCAATTGTAGCTTTCCAAACAAATGGACTAGAAATACAATAAAAAAAGTTTCAGTATTTCAACATTGTAATGTAAAAAGTATTTGGTTGGAAATTGATGTACAGATATATCCACAGGAATCATTAAACTTAGATTGGAAAAATGAAAAATTTTCACTTGCTTATGATATGTATATGTCATACAAGAAAACTTGACAAGACAAAACACACCAAGAACTTCCTCTGATGTATCTTACACCTATTGAATTTAAAAAAGCAAGACCAATGTACGTATTAAATCTTACTAGACAACCTGACAATGTTAGTGGAAATAGAAATATTATTTTAGAAGAATTTAATGAGGATGTATCAAATGGTACAATTTGCTATATTTGTTTAGTTTCAAGTTCTGAATTTACATATGATATCGTCCAAAACTTAATTAGAAAAAACATCTAAAACTATAAAAATATTTTTTTAATAGACATTTTCTATTAAGAAAGAAAAACTAATTTATTATGTTAATAAATATGGACAAAGAATTTATAGAACCAATACACTGTCACAAATGCAAAAAGAAAACTAAAAATGTTAAGCCAATCAAGGTTCAAACAACAAATGGTCTATGGGGAATTTCAAAACAATGTTTAAAATGTAAAACAAACAAAAGTAAATTTATTAAAACTCCTTTAGCAAAAGAAACAATCTCAAAAATAAAATTTAAAAAAATAACAGAACAAGATAAATCAAATATTGCAAAAGAACTTCATAAAAAAGTAACATCTCGATTTCCAAAATGAAAATAAAAACACATGGTATTTATGATTTGTGGGCTGCAGATTTAGTTTTAATGAGAAATTATGGTGATGAAAATTCAGGTTATTTATATATGTTGAATGTTATAGATACTTTTTCAAAATTTGCAAGGTCTGAATCTCTTAATAAAAAAGATGGAAACAATTTTACCAAAGGTTTTTAAGGAATAATAAAAAGAGCTAAACTACAGAAGCATAATTCGGCAACATTACTTCATACTGATAAAGGAACAGAGTTTGTAAATAAACAGTTTAAAGAAATGTTAACAAAACACAATATAAAATTATATCATTATATCAAAACAAAGAGAAATCTGCAAATATTGAACGTTTCAACAGAACTTTAAATGGTAAAATGTGATGCGTTCTCATTTTAAAACTTGAAGTTCAGAAAAATAAAAGATGGGTTGATATTTTACAAGATTTATTGAACGAATATAATTTCAAAGGTATTCATCAAACAATTAGAATGATACCATTTGAAGTAAACAAATCTAATGAAGAAAAAGTTTTAGTTAAATTATTCCGTAATGAAATATCTAAATCAAAAATTTAATTTAAGACTAATGATAGGGTTCGAATAAAGAAGTTTAGAAAAATGTTTGATAACAAATATAACTCTAATTGGACACAAAAAATTGTTATTGTTACAGAAGTATTGAATACAAATCCAATTACTTATAAAATTAAAGATTTAAATAATACAATTATTGAAGGAAGTTTCTATAATCAAGAATCACAGAAAACTAAATTTTAATGTGCGAGAAAAAGGAATTGTAATGAAATATTAAAATTTAAAAAAAAAATTTACAAATCTTAATTTGTAAATATTTATATAAACCTAGATGTATTTCATATTTCAGAGTTAAATCTCATTTGAAGTATAATGTAACACTTAACAATAATTAAACTGTATATTTTAAACATGATTGTCTTACTTAAAATTAATATGAAAAAAATGAAATTGAAATTGAAAATTGAATCTTAGTTAAAAAAAATATAACCTATAATAAAATGGAAGAAAATATTAATGTTAGAACAGCTTTAAAAATGACGTGTAACATGTGTGGAAAAACAACTACACATAAAAATTGGTCTAGACATTTATGATCATTAAAACATCAAAGAAATGATCCAAATGAAACTATTGAAATTAGATTTCATGAAAAAACTAATCAGAGAATTAAAAATAGTATCCGAACACTTAAGAAAGGGACAACAATAAAACCTTACAGAGTTTTATGCAAATTTTCTAAAGATATTACTGAGAAAATACCAACTAAAAAAAAAAGATTGTAGCGGAATATATTTTGAAAATAGGATTTCAAAACACACAGTATTTTCAAAGTTGGATGATAGCTTATTAGAAAGAGAAAAAGCTGCCTTAAAGATTGTTGATATTACTACTGATAATCGGTCTGCTTTTAATGGGAGAATATTATTATTTATTGTTGAAAATACGCGACAATTTAAAGATATCAATCTATTTTTTGAATTATTCAAAAAAGTTTGTTGAGAATAAAATGTTAGAATATTTAAAAGAGAAACGTAGTTTTAAAATATCTATTATAGTAAATTGTAAATATATCAAGAAAAGTCCATTAAAGGAGAAAATATATACAGGCTTTAGATCAGAAAGTGAACGGTTCCTTCATTCTAGTAATTTCAATGAATTTTATAACAATGTAAAAAAAAAAAACAATTCAATCTTGAGAAGATGCTTTTATAGCTAGGGGTTCTGGTTGGATATTTAACCAGGTTACAAATATGAACATAAACATGTATAAATATAATCCGCTTAGAGGGGGTTCATATATTGAATTACCAAAATGTATATCTGATAAAAAAGCTATTATCAACATTAAAAACGAAGATAACAAATGTTTTCTTTGGTCAATTCTTGCTGCTTTACATCCAGTGATAAAAGATGCAAATAGAGTTAGCAAATATAAATAATAGAAAAATGAATTTAATGAAGTATTTAAAAGTTTAAAAATTGAATTTCCAGTTAAATTAAAAGATAATCCTAAATTTGAAAAAAAAAAATATGTCCATTAATGTGTTTACTTATGAAGATAATAAAAATATAGTACCACTACAAATATGTGATATTCAAAAAGAAACTCATATTAAGTTATTTTATATTAAAAAAAAAAATAATGAACATTATTATTTGATTAGAAACTTAATGAGATTAGTTGATTCGCAAAAAAACAAAACATACCCATAAAACACATTTATACAACATGTGTTTATTTCATTTTGATACTGAGGAAAGTCTAACAGACCATAAGAAATTTTGCAGAAATAATAAATGTGCTAAAGCAATATTAGTGAGTATATCTAATTGTATTCTTCAATTTGAAAAATACAATCAATCTTATAAAGCTCTTTTTGTCATTTATGTTGTTTCGAAAGTATGCCACTCAAATTTGATACATGTAAACCTTCTGATATAGCTTCCTACATAAAAACATATCAAAACCATTTACTTATTAGTTTTTGTTATAATGTTAAACATAAAAATACTAGTAAAAGTAATCTAGTAACATATTCAGGTGAAGATGCAGCAAAAGTTTTTTATGAGAAAATAAAAGATGAAGAAAAGCTCTTTATATTGCAAAAAATTATTTAGATGTAAACAAACCTATGATAATAACTAAAGAACAAGAAACTGAATTTGAAAAAGAAAATAACTGTCATATATATGAAAAATCATTGACGGATTTACCACCAATAAAAGTAAAGAAAAAGAGAATACTAAATGAAATTAAAGATCTTCAAGAATTTATGAAAAACGTTTAAGATCACAGATCAGATGAGGAGCTGCTCATTCTATATATAATTTAAATTATAAGGTTCCTAGATTTATTACAGTATTTTTCCAAAATCTATCTGGTTATGACACTCATTTATTTTCATAAAAGAATTAGGTATTGATAAAGATATTATAAAAACAATTGCAAGTAAAGAAAAAAATGATTTAACATTTTCTACAAATATACGATATATAAGTATAGATCCAATTACTAAAGACCCTGTTTTAGAACAGGAAGGAAAACCTATTTTTAAAACAATTGAAATAAGATTTCTTGATTCATTCAAGTTCTTTTCTAGTTCTTTAGAAAAATTAGCTAATACTTTAAAACCATACCAGTTTAAAGAACTATCTAAACATTATCCTGAACAATTGGATTTAATAAAAGTAAAAATAACATATCCTTATGAATATATGGATTCTCCAAAAAAATATGATAAAGAATCTCTACCTAATATAGATAAATTGTACACCTCTTTACAGGTGAACATGTAACACAAAATGCATATGAAAATGCTAAAAAAAAATATGGGAAACATTCAAAATAAAAAATATGAGAGACTTTACCATACTTTTTAATAAAATAGATGTATTATTACTTACAGATGTAATGGAAAATTATAGAGATTTTTCAATAAGACATTTTAAGTTGGATCCTGTTCATTATTATTCAACTCCAGGTTTTGCGTGGAATGCTATGCTTAGAAAAAAAGGTGTAGAATTAGAACTATTAAGCGTTATTGATATGTATTTAATGTTTGAACAAGGAATAAGAGGAGGATTATTTCAAGTATTAGATATTCTAAGGCAAGTAATACATATATTGGAGAAAAAGAAAAGAAAAATCATCAACGAAATATCTCTTAGATTTGGATGCAAATAATCTCTATGGATGGGCGATGTGTAAATATTTACCATATATAGGATTTAAATGGTGTAATTCTGATTTGTTTAGTACAGAAAAAATTTTAAGAATGAAAGATTACTAGGAAAAGGGCTATATTTTCGAAGTAGATTTGAAATATCCTGAAAAACTTCACGATCTTCATTCTGATTATCCATTAGCTCCAAAAAATGTATTTGATAATGAAGAATTACCAAAATTCACAACATAGATAGGGTAATAGAATTTGATCAAAAAGATTGGTTGAAACTATGTATAGAATTTAACACAAATGCAAAAACAGATAATGAATTTGAAAAAGATTATTATAAGTTAATAAACAACAGTGTATTTGGTAGGACTATGATGAAGACAAGAAATCATAAATATATAAAATTAATTAACGATGAACAGAAAAATAGAAAAATGGGTTGCTAAACCAAATTTTGATTGAGCAATTATTTTTACAGAAAACTTAGTAGCTGTACATATGAAAAAAACTACGGTTGAATTAAAACAACCAATTTATTTAGGAATGTGTATTTTAGATTTATCTTAAACTCGAATCTATGATTATAACGTATTGAAAAAAATATCAGATGATTATACACAGACATAGATTCTTTAATAGTAGAAACTACAACTAATGATTTTTATATAGATATAAAAACAATAAACAACTTTTAAATGAATTTGATTTTTCAGATTATCCTGAGAATAATAAATATAGAATACTCCAAATAAATAAAAAAGTTTAAGGTAAATTCAAAGATGAACTTAATGGTCAAGTAATGACTGAATTTGTTGGATTAAGATCTAAACTATACACATTTAAAGTATTTGAAAATATAAATGAAATTAAAAAAGCAAAAGGTGTGAAAAAACCCATAGTTTAAAATGAATTATGTTTTAATGATTTTTATAATTGTTTAAAAATAAAAATCCAAAATACATAAAACAGAGCACTATTAGAACAGATAAATATGAAATATGTACCCCTGAACAAAACAAAAAAGCTCTTAATGTATACAATGATAAAAAATATATTCTAGGAAATAGTATTGATACTGCAGCTTGGGGACATTATTCAACAAAAATAGAAAGAGAAAATTTCAGAGAATACCTTGATAATTTAATAAAAAAGAATAATAATTTAATTATAAACTACTTTTGAGAAAGTTTTTATTTCTAATATATTATACATTTATTTTTGTTAAAGAGAACTGTCCCTAGTACAATGTTTATGTAACAATTTTTTTTTATTATTATTTTTAAATATTTTTTAATTATTTTTAAATATGTTTTTTTTAATATTATTTTTGTTTTATGCATGTAAACAAAGAACAGGAAATAAAAACAATGTAGATAGAAATCAGAAATTAGTTTTTAAAGTGAGAAATAAGAGACTGCGCCACAACTGACTTATTCCTACTACTTATATTACACGCATTAGCCTAATCATAGATAAATACTTATAACAAGTGCACATAGTGGGGAACATTATTGACACAATGTTAGCTGCGCAACTAAATGTTATTGTTGGAAAATGTAGAGTAAGCACATCTGGCCGGAGAGGGGGGAGAAGATTACACTCAAATATACGGATTGCAAAACGAGTCTTAAGCTATCAATTGTGAGATGATACATCTAAAAATTTAAGTATATGAATATTTTTTAACAATAAAAATACTTACACAAATAACTGTGTACAATAACTCAGATTTCGGTCATAAGAATACTTGAACCTGAGTTTGAAAAGATGCCCACAACACAGATATACCTTCTTTTAAAAAGTTTCAAAAATTTTCCAAATTTGGATAAATAAAACTTTTCTACTTTTAAAACCGAATAAAAGATTATTTCATTTGTAACTCAACTGAATCACCCAACATGGTTGATATTATCTTCTGGCTGATTATATTTATAATATAAAAAATCATTATTATGTATTGTTATTTTTTAATATTTATGTCTAAGTACAATTATGCTTATATTATTCAGTACACATCACAACAATAAATATTACTTTATTATATGAATAGGAACAATTCAAATTAAACTATAAATGTTAAAGTAGGAATTAATGTGAGTTAGTGGGTCAGTGAGTAATAGATGTCACTAATGTTCCTACAAAACTATCATATTTAAAGTTAAATAAGGAGCTCCTCTACAAATAACCACTCAGCAGCACTTCTTTTATACGCCACTGTCACCTTCTGTAGTATATCTGTGGTCATGTGTAAACTTTACAAGCTAAGTGTGTATGGGCCTTAACACAGTAACACTTGATTGTCATATCACGATAATGTTAAGACAAAATTAATAGTATTTAAAACTTATCAGTAGTCCAAAATTAATGCTTTGATAGTTATAAAATTTAAAAGTTGCATGAGTATACAAATCTAAAAGTTCTTTAAAAATATACAGTAGTATATATAGTATTATAGTAAATTTTCTTTTTATCTTTTATTAAATTAAAACATAATGTCAATTCTTTGTTACATTTCGATTTAATGATATAATTATTAAATAAAAAATATGTATAATATATACTTTCAAAAAGATTATTTATGACAAAACATTTTTTTAAAGAACAAAATTATGATTAAATATATTCATAACTAAACAAAAAAAAATAAATTTATCTTATCTTATCAGTATCTATATCTTAAGTTTTACAATGCAATAATAAATACATTTTTTTAATTATAGTACCTGTTACTGTATTATTTACAAAATGAACAGAAAAAACTCAAAAAAACAAAAATGTATTTAATGATTAACAATATTGATTGACTTTTAAATATTCATGAAGTTATTTATTTAGTCAGCTAACAGATTCCGATTTCATAAAACTGTTAAAAACTGCAATTTTTCAAAAGAATGACTTAAAAATTATAAAAAAAAAACTTATTAATAATTTAGGTTTTGGATTTTAAAGATTGCGGTTTAATTTTCAAACATGATTATAAATCAGCTTTTAAAAAACTGTTTTTGGACTTGATCATAAGAAAACAGCAGTTATTTTACAAAATAATTAATATTATAGCTTTTAATATTAATAATTTAATTTAACACAGATTTCTGCACCATGAAATATGTGTTCTTGAATTTTAATTTTAAACATATTAGTGAAATATTTCATTTGTTTACTTCTAGTAAATAAGAGAAACATGAATACTATAATTAACTATAATTTTATTTAAAGATCATTAAACTGTTTTGATAAATAAATTTCATTATCATCTGTGTAGGGTACCCTAATTACTTTACACTTAGCCTTTAACATTATTGAATTCAACCAGTATTGTAGGAATGATACAGTCAGTATTTGAACATCATCTTCCTCGTCACTATAAAAGTCTTCTTCTTCTCTTCCAGGGTCTTCAGGTTGTGGTTGTAGTTTCCTTGACCTTGAAATTGGGACATTGTTTTTAGGTTCTCTTGTTTGTGGTTTACCCATAATGTAGCCAAGACTACGCTGATTTTTTATATTATCAGCAATGTATACATCACCCATGTCAAGGACCTCCTCTGTTATTCCCCAAATTATGTGTGTTAATGTTTTGGAGAGTTTTTCAAAGCAATGAAATAAGTCACAATTGGTGTTTGCTATCTAAAAGAATACATAATTTTAGTAGGATTCAATAAGTATGTTAAAAATTGCAATAGTATAATACTTACTCCTAGGTAGTAATAGATAGGAATTATTAGCAAACCAGTTATACCATCACATTGTTCTAATTGTTCTTTCACACATTGATCGAATGCAATGCCCACTAATTCTAAGTTCTTCAACTTTTTCAAAGATCTAATGGCAGAAAAATATTCTTTTGCGTATTCTGACCATCTACCATAGCAATTTATTAATCGTTAGGATCTTAAATTGATAAATTTTTTTAAATACATAGGAAAATCATCAGGTAAGCATTCACAGTCTCCTATTTCTAAAACTTCCAGGTCAATTGAAATTGTTCCCATAAGCCTGCAGACATTTGCAGGGACTAATTCAATGGATGAAGAGTATGTTAATGACTAGAAAAAAAAATTAATAACAACACAATAAAATTAAAAACATAAACAGAAGTAAAACCATAAAAAATATTATAAACAAAAATTTAAATAAATAAATGGTATACAAGTATAATTAGTTAAATAATTATATTGTGTATTTATATATTTTTAATGGTGGGGTTGCCATAGTCCTGGAAAACTGGAACTATCACTGGTTTTTGAATTGATGTACTGGTGTCCTAAAAATAAATGTTGGTATGCCAACATGTCCTGGTGTTGAGAAAAAATAAATAGTATTTAATTTTCAACATTTTTTAGAACAATAACTTTAATCAAAAGGTATAGATAATATTTTTAACAAATACAGGATAGGAAAAATAATTACAATTTTTGCTGTATTGTTGTGGTTTATAAGATAATTAGTCCAGTTTTTTTTTTAATACATATAAATTATTTAGCTATTTAATATGATTAATATGATTATCTCATATTGTTATTTTGTAATTATTCTATTCGTCCTGGATTTTCTTTATGAAATTATGACAACCCTATTTTCAAGAAAAATTAATGTAATTGAAAACAATTAGTGGTTCATAGAACTAAAAATATTATAAACTTCTCCACCTACAACAGAATTATAATTTGAGTTCTTTAAGTACAACTATGATAACTTACCAAAGTCTTTAGTTTGGTCAAACATGAAAACGTTAGTTCTGGCGAATGTACTAGCTTAAGTCCAGTTAGATTTCTTATTCGTAACTGTGTTAGATTTATCATTTTGCTCACATAGTCTATGTCAAAGTACGAACATTTTAATGGATGTGAATGTCTGAGAAATAATAAAATTAAATCATTAGCTACATATTTCGTAAAATATAAAAAGATCATATTCTTAATATTACTGTATTAAATGGACATCAAGTATTTCAAGTTGATGTAATGAACGCATAACATTATGAATAACAATAATTGGGCATCCATTTATTTTAAGATACTTTAATTTAGTTGCATTGATTATTACACTAGAAAAATATCTCCAAAACTTGAGATAGTCATCGATATTTGAAGGTACTACTATGTCACGAATGTCTAATAAAATGGATTCTTTTTCGGTTATAAAGTCTATCAGTGTCTTCCAGTCACTAATCTTCACATTTTTCAAACAAACATATTTCCACTAGAAAAAAAATAATCATTTGAAACTAAAATAATAAGTCAATGATTAAACTATAAGAAAATTATTTGAAATCTAAGGCTTAGATTTAAATACATTTGTAAATTTTATTATATATTGACTGCTGAAGTGATTAAATACACAATTTATCTTATTACGAAAAATGATTTATTACAGATTTTACCAATTGATTTTTTAAGAAATATTAAAAAAACTAATTTATATTATGTAAAAAAAAGTAGTTTATACAAATAACATCAATATGATATGGCTTAGATTTCTCTTAACCTTAGTGGAGGAGAAGCTATTTTAAATTTAAAAAAATACTATATAATATGTCATTGTTTTAGGTATTATTTTTTATTTTATTGTTGTTGTAATAGCACAGTTTTAATAAATTTGTCAATAGTTTTTGAGTCTTAAATTAATTTTTTTTAGGATATTCAAATTTGTGCACTATGAATCAATATAAAAATTACTAAATTGTTCTTACTACATATTTATCGGCTAAAATATTTCTCCAAGAAGGACACACTTTGGTTACAGTTAAACGATCTTTCATTCCTAAATATGGGAAAACATACTTCAATGAATTGTCCATATTGCTCTTATTGATTTCAGATGATCTGTAATAATTTAATACAAATAATTGAGTTATTATTATTTCCTGGTTTTAAATTGAAAAATCTTATTTTTTCATTTGTATGTTCTCGACCAGACATATATATTGTATACTACATTTAAACATGCAAACAAAAAAGGTCATATAGAATTTGAATAAAATAATAAGTAAATAAAATAAGGGGTTAAAGGGAAATTAAGGATGTAGATTTTCCGCTCAAATCTGAAAACAAACAAAACCAATTGAATTAAAAAATATTCTCTATTAACTTGATCTCATTCATAAAATATAACACTAATGACCAATGCTATTTTGAGCCTAGCAATATTACATTCTCCCAAAATAAAGGGAAAATTAAATATTTACTCACTCATCTGAATTTTAGGTCCTTGCACCCAAAAGCCTTCAGTTTCATTTCATACACATATTGTTCATGAAAACTGCCAGCTGTCATAACAGGTCCATTTCCCCCCCCCCCCAAGTGAAAAAATAAAAACCAAATTTTTACATTATATTGTAAGTAGTTTGTAAAGGTTTTTTAAAAAGTTATTGTCATTTTATAGTGAGGGGGCTCAAGAAATGGGTAAAGGTTGAAAAACTATTCTTTTCCTGTTCAACTTTTTGTAAAAGTTTGTAGAAATACAATTTTCGTTTTATAAAGAAAACCAAAAAAAGTATTTTAAAATGGGGAGGGCTAAATAATTAACATATAGGATGATTTATAAATAATGATTTTTACTAGGAATATTTTACTGTACTAAGTTAGGGATTTAATGAAATATAAATACTATTAGAATAGAATTATTGTTGTTAAACGATTGATTGTAGTAAAATTCCATTATTAAAATAGTATTCTTTTATTATGTACTGGGTATACACAAGTAGGTAATCATAATATAGTTTATTGTGAATTCAACTGCATTAACTCATGAACAAATTATCAACGGTGCATCATTATTTAAAAGTAAACTCATCAAAAACTAAGGATCTGGTAATATTAAGTATTACTGTTGTATAACTGATAGCAAGATATCATGAAATAAATTTTAACTTCAATCAGCATTTTCTTTTTATGTAGTTCAATAAACATGAAAATGCATGAATTTAGGAATCCTGATAATAATATTCATAAATATTATTCAATACCTATTTAATTTGTCTTTAGGAGTGGCTTTGCTATCAGATAATATTTTGAACATAATGAACATAAATGGATCTATTTTATGTTCATCATCACAGTTATTTAGACCTCCCCATTTTGAAATGGAAATTACTTTTTTTTGGTTTTCTTTGCAAACGAAAATTGTATTTTTACAAACATTTACAAACGACTTACAAACCTAATGTAAAAAAAAAAATTAAATATTTTCACATGGGAGGAGGGCTCGGAAAATTGATGTTGACGTAACAGTTTTACAAACATTCCCTTGGCATGTAACTACGTTTATAAACGAATCATCTTCATCAATATGTCCATTGATCTTATTGTATTGTTTTTCACTTTAGGAAACTGATGTTTTATCAATAAATAAATTAGAAAAATCTGATGTTTGATATACTCGTACTATACAAATTGGTTAGACAGGTCAATTGTTCTGGTTTCGAAACTCCAACAACTACAGTATGTGATGACTGCACACGTCTATTTTATTGTCATACAGATAATTCCCCATGGAGCCTTCGTGATAACTTCTCCATCCGATATAGATAATCTATTTTAATCCATTCAGGCATATGGTTTGATTGAGGAAGTATTATGAAGGAAGTGTAAGGATAACAACCCCTTAATTCAGCAATAAATTTGTAAGGGCAATTTAGAAACTAACAAACAGAAGACTGTTTAAGCAATAAAATTATTAAATAAAATTTATATACTACCGTTGTTTAATATTTATAGAATTGTCCATATTATCCAGTTTTGGACGTTTTGGTGAAGAAACCATTGAAAAATCATTCACAGATTGATGTAATGGCTTTCTTGTTTCACCTGATTTGAAACTACTGTCATCCTAAAAACACATTATAAATTATAGAAACCAATATTAAACAACATTCAATAAAATGTTCAAAAACATATCTTACCTTAGTTGATTTAGATTTCGCATTTCTAATTATTTCTTTTAACGGATCATCAATTCCAATTGCTTCTTTTTTAAATGAAAAATTGTCTATTGTTAAGGGAAATTTTAAAGCTTTACGGGTTTTCTTAATTTGTACTAATGATCGGAACTGTTTGTTTTCTGGTGAATGATAGTACACATCAGCTTTTTTGTTTGTTTTATTGCTTGTAGTAGTAGGATCATCTGACTTTGGATTCCTGTAGACCAATTCTCGTTTCCATCCTAAAAAAAAAATAACTTATAAATTTAAAACAGTATTTGAGTTGGGTAGATGTAGTGCAGATTGAAATCTCGAAAGGTCCACTCTTACTATGTCCGTTCAGCACTATAACCAATGGTTAAATTTGCCACTAAACATGAGTTCACAGTCAGTGCAAGTCAACACTTTACAGAACATTAGTTTGATGGAGAATCAGAGTAACAAATAAAATTAGCTAGCAGGAAAAATTGAATGATGGTGTGACGATATAGTCTTAATGACAAAAACCCCAAAAATAAGAAATATAAATAACAAAATAATACACAAATACACTTACCATGAGCAAATGGAAGCTTATATTTCAGATTAGTATTATCAATATGGTTAGAACTTGTAGATGCACTGCTAGAGTTTGGCATATTTAATTCTTCAACTATAATAAAAAATTTAGTTTACACATAAAAATATGTTTTTTTTTTCACAAAATGTTTATTTTTGTAAAAAAATAAAGTCACTTTTTTGAATTACACTTCAAAATATTTACTAAAAATATAAGTTAATAACATTGAGGTTTCAGATTTGGTAATTTATGAACTACAGTTTTAAAATCTAAAAGAGCACATTTAATGAAAACGGTTAACTAAAATCTAGATATAAAAATGTTAGTTTATGGCCTTTCAAAATATTATTAATTACAGCAATAATTTGAGTAAGGGAACTTAATTAAGTACATTTCACCTTAGCAACCAAAATACTCAAATGAAGTGTATGTTAAAAACTTTTGATTTACATTTTTAAAACATATTGGTAAAATAAATAACAAATTAGAAATAGAAAATAATGATAAAATCTTTCCCTTAAAATAATGTTAGTCATAGGCTGTAGTTTAAAATTATCCTCATTGTACACATAATGTTAACTTTATAGGAATTATTTAATTAATATGAGTGGGCATATGATATATATATAATTTTTTTTTTCAATAATATTATTAAACCATAAAGTTACAGCCATGTTATACCAAAGTAGTATGAATATAATATTATATTAAAATATAATATTATAGCTACGCCTATCAATATTATAAAAATATATTATTTTACTATTATACAAATTATTATATTATATATTATACAAAAATTGTGTTAAACATAAAATAGAAATTATATGTTTCTAAATATACGTGTGATATGGTATGTTTTCTACATATATATTTATATATATATCAGTAGTATGAATATACTGGTTCTGGCGCAGTCTCTTATTTATCACTTTAAAAACTAATTTCTGATCTCTATTAACATTGTTTTTATTTCCCATTCTTTGTTTTCATGCATAAAATAAAAATAAATTTAAAAAATAATAATAAAAACAAATGTTACATAAACATTGCACTAGGAACAGTTCTCTTTAACAAAAATAAATAATATAATATATTACGCATAAAATAGATAAACGTTGCATACAAATCGATAATGATTAATTAGGTCAAAACGTATATACCTAATAATATTTTTTGTGTTATTAAAATATTATATCTACTATTTATAGCATTACAATTTGTAGTGTTAATAAATTTATTTCTATCTTTTAGAATTTTACCAAATTTCTATAGTTAACAAAGATCATATTTTAAAGGTATATATAAAATTTGAAGTTAATCGATTCAGTGGAATCCAAAATCCCTTACTAATCACTAAAGACAAAATTTGATAACATTTTCTAAAAGATCGTTTAAGGTTTATTCGGAGTAGATGAAAACAAAATTGAGCTACGACGATTTCTCGCTGAGATATTCAAACTCAAAAATTCTCAAAATTGGACTACCCAAAAATCAATTTTTAGTATGCAGTGTAAGTAAGTTCAAAAATAACATGGGTCTTTGTTTTACATTTTGCTGATTATTATTGAATAGGTTGGAGCATTTCAAATATTTCTCCATCCTAAGTATATATTATTTATAAAATCTATCATTATATTGAAATAATATTAAATTTATAAAACTTAAATGGACTAATTTCATTGTACTTTAATATCCTAGTGTTCTGGTCTAGTGGTAAATACTTTAATTATAATTCAATAGATACTAGGTTTGAACCACAATAAGTTATACAAATTTGCTAAAAATAATTCAGTCACTATTATATTATATATATTATATTTATATGATTGTGACACTTGTACATGTTGTTTGTTGGACAATTTGATAAGTTAGTAGCTTATCTGTGGTAATAAACTCATGAGCAACTGGAATTATAAATTAGTGTAATCATATGATAGATAAATAGATCAGAAAATTAGAACAATAGTTAACCCAATTCAATCACGTATAAAAAATAATATATGAAAAAAGTGTGAGAAAAAAACAAAAAATCGGTGGCAACCATGTATGTGATTGGATTGGGAAAACTATTACAAATTTTTTCCATATTTTTTAATTTTTTGAACCTTAGTTAAAAGAAATATTTTCTATAATAAATGGAAAACTTTAAAATTAAATTGAATAGCCACCTTTAATTATAAATTCATTAAACTAAATGATTTAGAAACTAAATAGATCAGAAATATTTATAAAAATATTTTAGTATTGATAAAACAAGATATGGTGACAAATTAAGTGTTATTTTAGATTATAAATTTAAATTATTTTTACCTGATAGATTTTTAAATAATTTTTCTCATAAAGAAATTGAAACAATCAATAAAAACACACAAGAGCAAATCTTTTTGGTTTGTAAAGGNATCAAATCTTATGTTTTTTTTTTTTAAATTAGACGAAAAGTCAAATAAATATTTAGGTTTTGATCATGAAAAAGATAAGTATTTTAACACAAGGAAAAGTACTATAGTTGGATATTTTCAATTAAAATTTTTATTACCTAATCCTGAAGATGAGATTATACCAATTATTTAAAAATGTAAATTTATTATTGGGGCGAAATGGACATATACCAACGAATACCTTAGCAGTTGGATTATATTCGTTGCAAAACCGAATGGTGAAAAATATTCAAAATTATTCGGCTATAGATGGCCTTCTAAAGAAGATATAGAGACAAGAAAAACATTTTTTACTACAACTGCTGTAAAAATGCCAAATTTAAATAATGAAAAATATTTATAGATCCATAATATATGAGATATTAGATCCAGAAACTGAAGACTCTGTTTTAGATGATAAAGGAAAACCTATTTTTAAAACAACTAAAATAAGATTTCTTGATTCTTTCAAGTTCTGTAAAAAAATTAGTTAAAACTTTAAAATTATACTAGTTTAAAGAACCATCTAAACATTATCCTGAACAATTAGATTTAGTAAAAGGAAAATTAGCGTTTTTTTATGAATGTATGGATTCTCCAGAAAAATATGATAGACTCTCTACCTAATATAGATAAAATGTACAGTTCTCTTACAGGTGAACATGTAACACAAAATGTATATGAAAATGCTAAAAAAATAAGGGAAACATTTGAAATAAAAAATATGAGAGACTTTACCATACTTTATAATAAAATAGATGTATTATTACTTACAGATGTAATGGAAAATTATGGAGCTGTTTCATTAAGAGATTTTAAGCTGGATCCTGTTTATTATTATACAACACCAGGCTTTGCTTGGAATGCTATGCTTAGAATAATAATAACATGGGTATTTGTTTTACATGTTTCTAATAATTATTGATTAAGTTAGAGCATTTCAAAAATTTCCCCTACCTAAATATATATTATTTATAAAATCTATCATTAAATTTATATAACTTAAATGTACTAACTTCATTATACATTAATGTCCTAGTGTTCAGGTCTAGTGGTCAATACTTTGATTATAACTCAATATGTAGCAGGTTCGAACCCAACATAATTTATTAAAAATTTACAAAAAAAAATTCAGCCACTGGTGTGATATAATATCCATAAGCTGAAAACATTGTATATCATATCTGTTATATGATTGTGCCGCTTTTAAATATTGTTTGTTGGACGATTTGATAAGTTAGTAAATTATCCCTGGTAATAAACTCATGTTCAACCGGAATTAAAAATTAGTGCTATCATATTATGGGCAAACAGATCAGAACATTAGAATAGTTAACCCAATCTAATCGTGTATAAAAAATTATATCTGAGAGAAAAAACAAAAAAAATTGGTGGCCACCATACATGTGATTGGATTGGGATTTAAAAATTTTTTTTGAAACTTAGTTAAATAAAAATATTTTCTATAATAAATAGAAAACTTTAAAATTAAATTAAATAGTGTCACCTTTAATTATATTCATTATATTAAGTGATTTAGAAACTGATCAGAAATATTTATGCAAATATTTTAGTATTTATAAAACAAGATATGGTGACAAATTATGTGTTATTTTAGATGATAAATTTAAATTATTTTTACCTGATAGATTTTTAAATAATTTTTCTCATAATGAAATTGAAACAATCAATAAAAACATGCAAGAGCAAATCTTTTTGGTTTGTAAATGTGTAAAACAACTTAATAACAATGAAATATTTTATTTGATTGAATTTGAATAGTTAAACCATATTTTATCTGTATTCTATAATTTTTATATATTCTTTCTACTACAAATTTTTAATTTATTTTAAATAAAAAAATATTATTTATAATAAATGAGAATAATAAAAATAAAAAATGGATTTATAAAGTTAGAAAATCTTATATTTGGAGATAATTTATTTGTTGGTGTTTTAAGTTTAAGTATTACTTCAAATTTAATAAATATTGAAACAAATTATTTATTAAAAGTTGAAGGTAATATAATTGAATTAAAATCTGGAAAATATACTATAGATGAATTAAATAAAATTGTTAAATCCTTAATAATTTCTATAGAAAGAGATAAAATTAATATCAAATCTAATGTTTTTTTTTTTTTAAATTAGATAAAAAGTTAAATAAATATTTAGGTTTTGATCTTGAAAAAGATAAGTATTTTAACACAATGAAAAATACTATAGTTGGATATTTTTCATTAAAATTTATATTACCTACAATTATTATACAAATTAATCAAGAATGTAAATTTATTATTGAGAAAAACGCACATATACCAATGAATACATTAACAGTTGGATTGTATTTATTAAAATCTCTTTAAAAAATATTTAATAGTTACCCAGAATAAAGTCTAAATAAAACCACAAAAGTTACACTTGAAAATGAGTTATTAAAAATATCATCTCCATTTAATATTGGATTCGATTCATATTTATCTGATTGTCTAGGTTTTAAATATAAAGTAAATGATAATGATGTTACAAAACTTAATGGAGAAAAATATTCAAAATTATTCGGCTATAGATGGCCTTCTCAAAAAGATATTGAGGCAGGAAAAACATTTTTTACTGCAACTGCTGAAAAAACACCAAATTTAAAAAATGAAAAATATTTAAGCAACTAGAAGGAAACATATATTTTGAAAATGATTAATATTTATAAATCAAATTATACTATTGAACAATTAAATAATATTTTAAAAATTAATATTAAAGTTTCTGATAATGATTTAATTGAAATTAAAAGTGATGAAAACAATTTTTTATTTGATAATATCCTTTGTGATAATCTAGGGATTAAGTTTGATAATTTTTCAAAAATTGGAATTTATGGAGACATTATTTAACAAAATTAGAAAGAGAAAATTTCAGAGAATACCTTGATAATTTAATAAAAAAAAGTAATAATTTTAATATAAATTAGTTTTGAGAATCTATTTCTAATCTATATTATATTATTTATTTTTTTTAAAGAGAACTGTTCCTAGTGCAATGTTTATGTAACATTTGTTTTTATTATTATTTTTAAATTAAATTTTTATTTTATGCATGTAAACAAAGAACAGGAAATAGAGACAATGTAAATAGAGATCAAAAATTAGATTTTAAAGTGAATAAAGAACAGGAAATAAAACAATGTAAATATAGTTCAGAAATTAGTTTTTAAAGTGAGAAATAAGAGACTGTGCCAGAACTGGCAAAATCCTATTACTTATATTACACGCATTAGCCTAATCAAAAATACTCATAACACAGTGCACATAGTGAGGAACGTTACTGATACAATGTTAGCTGCACAAAAACATGTTAGTAAAACCGAATAATAGGTTATTTCATTTGTAACTCACCTGAATCACCCAACATAGTTGACATTGTCTTCTGGCTGGTTCCTATAATATAAAAAAATCATTGTTATGTATTTTTCATTTTTATTTTTTATATCTAAGTACAATTGTGCTTACATAATTCATTACACATAACAACAATGCATATTACTTTATTAAATTAATAAGAAAAATTAAAATCAAACTATAAATGTTAAAGTAGGAAATAATGTGAGTCAGTGGGTCACTGAAAAAACAGTATAAACAGTAAAAGAGGTCACTAACGTTTCTACAATACTATCCTATTTGAAGTTAGATTAAGAGCGCCTCTACACATAGACACTCAGCAGCACTTCTTGTATACGCCACTGTCACCGTCTGTAGTATGTCTGTGGTGGTGTGTAAACTTCACAAGCTAAGAGTGCAGGGACCTTAACACAGTAACACTCGATTGTTAAATCACGATACTGTTATCTAAAATTTAACATGGCGTGATAATCATATGATTCTCCCACCCAGGCCAAAAATGCGATAACATTTTTTATCACGTTTCGCTGTTAGACATATATAAATAATATATATTTATATATACATACAGTTAAAACCTGAAATCTGTCATAACTAGTTTTAACTAGTGATTACACAAAATCCTTTAGTCAATTCTAGTTTCGACTAGTTAAAACTAGAAATAACTAATTACCTTCACCGGTAAAATTAGATTTATATTATTTTCGTTTACTAGTCTGTAAACTAGTTGTGTCTGAAATATATTGGTAAAAACTAGAATTATCTAGTGAAAATCCGTAATTTTTATTTTGATAGTTTAAACTAGTTGCGCGAGACAAACACACACGTAAGTACGACTATAACAAACTAACAACTAACAAGATAGTACAGGTTAGAATACATGCATTTCAGTAAAAACTAGTTTTAACTGACTTATGTAAATTCTAGTTTTAACTAGACGGATTTCAGGTTTTAACTGTAACATATATATTGTACAATAACAATAATAATAATATAGTTTATTTGCCAGTATAACATACAACTGAAAAAAAAATATGCAATAGTAATATGGTACAAAATAATCATAATAACCACAAACATTAATTAAATAACAAGAAAGATAATAAAACATTTAAAAATTATATTTAAGTATAACATTATTAAAATAGTAGTTGAATGTATTCATTGATAGTAAAACACGATGATAATAAAATACCGAAATTCTAAGTATATTTTTGCATTAATAAAAGAAATTTTACGGAAAGTACCTACTGCGGTCATAAGTAGTGCCGCGCGATTATTTTTTTTTTGTAGTATCGATTGTTCTACTATTTTAAATCTATTATGACCGATTAATCGATTAATCAAATAAAATAATCGCACAGTCCTAGTCCTAAGCCCAACAACTGAAATAGGTAATATAATATAAGGACTTTTTTTGTGAGAAATAAGACAAGTTAACTTTCTCTGTTTGTACATCGATACACTTAAAAATTAATATTTGCCGTGAGAAATGTGACAAACCAATATTTAATTACAATAAACGTAATAAGTCGTTACTCATTACATTATGATAATTCGTACTGTGATTATTATATTATAATATTGTGAGGAAATTGATAAGTCATATAGTCATAAGTTCTATAGTTCTATACGATACCCATGTCCCATAGTTCATAAACCTAAACAATTTTTTCCGTGTCATATATATAATGGTATAAGTCGAAAAAAAGACCTTTTTTGTAGCATTGTTGAATATCGACGACAATCGTTCAAATTGCGGCATTTCAAATAAAGATGGATAACCGAATTTCGCACACAATCGTTCTTCAGCGTATTTGATAATATTTATCTACAATTTTGACGGCGTTTTGGTAACAATTGTTTATATAGAGTGTTTGTTTAAGGTAAAAATGTATCGTAAACGCTACAACTGTGTGCAGTTGGTGCACGTAGTGGCCAACAAAGAGCAGTAGAACATATAAAGCGAATCGGATTGCAATTTAAAGGATGTCTATTTTTTCATTTTATTGTTAATTTTGTAGATTGAACGGTGAAATACAGCACGACAAAAGATTCGATATTATGGATTCTCGGTATTCGTCGACCCCGGATGAATTTACAATAAAATATCGATATTGACCGGACGGATATTATTAGTGACCTCGTATGGCGTCGACAAATATAACGTGCACATATTGTGTTTATAAGCCGACAGGTCTGTGAATCTTCTGGATAATGAGAAGACAGTCACAATGGACAATAATACAATGCATCGCATAGTTTTGGACACGTTTTCGATAAATATTATCGAACAGGTAGCCGGCTCCATGGGGAGCATTGCACAAATGCGGTATTTTTTCTATCACGAACCTTTCGTTCGTTTAAAAATATCGAATTCTCTTCGGTAACCATAAATTATAACACACGTTATACCTATAATAATGAAATAATATATTGTTTGTGTTTAATAAGGTCGTCAATTTTAAAATTGTATGCATCTATAAGTACTCTCTAGTTTAACAATAATTTAATGTTATATATTTTATTCAGAAAGGTAAACAGATAGGTCTTTTTGTTTTCCCATTTTTAAACTCCCCCCCCTTCTTATGGCGTTACCTGAGGAGAATTTGAATGGTATTAACGCCCTTTCTCAAATGCATACTTATTCACTAATTTTTACTAGGTATACATACTAAACGTTGCCAAGTAATACTTGTGATCTAGTTCTTTAAAGGTGGCATTTATTTAGAGAAAAATTAAATTTTTATTTTCATCCCTTAATCACTAAAAATAAAAATAAAAAACTTTATTTATTTATTTTACATAATTTTCAAAATAACCATTTTGTAATAGATATTATTTTAACAATTTTAAGGTATCATACATTCATATCCAATCAATTCCTTAGCTATAGCCCTTTAAAATGTTTAAATGCTTAAAAAATGGTAATTTATATGCAATAAAAGATAAGAAATTGCCGTAGTGATTTTGATTAATTGTCAGGCAACATGTTATTCTATAAAAAACAATTGCTTTCAAGCCTATTTTCTAAACTTATATAGGGGCCTCGTAACTCATAAACTCAAAATAATAAACCATCATTGTGAGAAAAGGCACAAGTCAACATTAATATACTCTATTACATAGTATTAATATTATGATATTAGTAGCTAATTACTTTTTTTGTCATACATTTTCTATAATTTATAGTACATACATTTTGTTATTAGATTATTATATTTTTTTAATAATACTAGTGCAAACTTATATATCTATGTAAATATGATGTCTAAAAACAGTAAAGATCTATTTAATTAGTAAGTACTAATTAGTATTAAATATTATTACTTACTTACCTACTTTATAATATATTGTAACTACATACACTACCTAATTATTACTAATTCGTAAGTAAAATTATTAGATAATACACAGAAAGACTCAAATACTAACCTAAAACTATCAGCTTAAATCATTAACTTAAATTTAATTATAAATGACAAAAAACCACAGTAAGTTCTTATCATAAATAAAAAATTTAATTTAAAAATGTCATTGATAAACATATTTTTATTTAGAAGTGGATAAATCAAACAAATTTTAATAACATTGAGGGTTCTATAATATTAAATAGTGTTAATTACAATATTGAGTTCAGCTGTGATAATCTAAAAATTCAAAAAACTCAAGAACAGGTTATTAAAATTATTAAGAATTTTGAATACATAAATAATATTAATTGTTCATTTACATTCATTTAGTTTTTTTTTTCAGGTTGTTGATATTATTCCACAAGAAACGTTTGATAATATTCACCATATTGATGCTACTAAAAGTGACAATGACAGTAAAATGCTTAACATAAATCATATTTCTGAGTTGACAAATAATTATATTAATGATAAATATGTGATATTAGGTACACCTGCACCTGTTACATTTAACAATTCAGGTAGAAATATAATTTTCAAGTAAAATTTTATTAATAAATAGCTCATAGTAAATAAAAATTAATTTCTTATTTAATAATATTTGAATAGATGATGTTATGAACTTCAATACTGATGACAATCATGACAATAATAGAAAAATTAGAATTAGCGAGATAGGGAATACTAGAAAATATAAAGAAAACAGAAAGTATAAAGAAATTGTGGAGAAGAATATATAATAAATAATGGAAACATTGTAAAAGCTCGTACTTCAATTTTTCATATTTTATATTTCATTTATTATATTTTAATATTATTATATTTTATTTCATATTTTATTAAAATAAAGACTTAATTAAGGTTTGCAAAACATATTTTTTGAAAATATTTGTCATAACACCTAAATTTGTTAAAATTAAATTGACATATCCATTCCAACAGACATTTTATCTATAACAGAAGAAAATAAAACTGATCTTATTTCTTTTTAAAGTCCATTCCAGAAACATGTTATAGTTTTTATTAAAATTTAACTAAAAAAAATATAAATGACCCTATTGTGTTGGATAAAGAAAATGATTAACTTTTATTTAAGTATAATAAATTATAATATAGATAAGTTATTGTATTTATTTATTTTTTTATACATAAATAATTACAAGTTTAAATCTTAATTCATGTTCTCTCATTTATTTTAATTTCTAAAAAGTTATGAACCTACAGTTATGTTTGTAATAGTCATTTGTTGTATATATTCATTTACCTACCTAAAATTTATATCATGTATTTGATTTGTATTTAAATACATTTACAAATAAAGATAAATTATATGAAGTTATAATTATTTTTATTAATATAATTAATTTTATTTGTATTTCACTAAATTATAAAACTGTTAGTATTACACAAAAAATGAAATATTGTATAATAATTAATGACATGTGTACTTTCTCACGAAAAAAAATGTATTTGTTCATGTGTGATTAGACACAAGTCAGTATGTGAGCAAAGACAAAAGTCATATAATAACCAACATCTGCATGATAATGGTTACAAGTCATTTAAAATAATGAAACAATAAACTATAAACTGTATTTTTTTTTTTTTT